TATTATTAAGAGAATAAGCAAAATTTTGTGGCCAGTGTATTTATATGATAAAATGGGTTTTGTGGTTAAATTTGATATCGTTGGAAAAGTCTTGACCTGCACGGGAAGAAAATTGAAGGAGTTATTACTATTTTATTATTGTAATTTTTACTAAATAAAATAGTAACGGTGGACTATACTTCTTATTTAGTAATTTTTACGATCTACTATTGTAAATTTTTTCCAACAAATAAGACTAGCAAGAGTTTTAAAAAGTCGTATACTATAGAGCAAATTATACAATATGTGTTAGTGAATTTTACAATTCAACTGTTGTAAAAATTCACAGTTGGTTTTTTTAAAAGAAATCTTAGGGAGGGAGAGAGATAGAAGATTGCACGAATTGGTACCTGAACAGTAATCGAAAAAAGAAACAAATATTTTCGTGCTATCTGGGAATCGAACCCAGAACTCTGTGTTGGTAGCCAGAGACTCTCCCTTTAGGCTATCCGCGGTAAACTGAGACTCATGTCCTTTAACATTTATATAAAAACTCAGAGTCTAGCGCTGTGCACGGCCATCACTCACACTAATTGAGAGACATTCCAATTCAACTATTGTAAAATTTGCTATAGTTTTATTGGAAAGATACAGAGGCAGCACTGGAAATTTTCATCTCTTACTTTTTACAATAGTAATATCGTATTTTTTCATTAATTAATAGTATTTTTTCTTCTAAAATATTTGATAATTAATAGTAATAAAGGTATAGTCCAGCTTTACAATAGTTGTATCGTAAATTTTCCCAGAAATTTTTTCCCGTGTAGATATGGAATTAGCGGGAAGTTGCAGGGATGGCCTTTAGACTCAACCGTTTTCCTAATTTTTTTTTTTTTTCATTCACTATCATAGATTTCAATTCAAAGTGGAATATGTGTTTAAAAAATTTCGGTTATTTTTTTATCTGATTTTAAAATAATAATTTAATTTGGGTTAGACTATAATTTATAACTGATCGGAATAGCCAGCTAACGAAAAAAATTAAAATATCATACAACTACACTCATTATGTTTCATTATCCAATTTGAACGAATACATTAATTAAATTTTGTTCATTTAGACTTCACATTTTCAAACGTATTAATTATTATTATATCAACTTACCGTCAACCCATCGCCAAGTTCTTGCTGTTATTGAAGGTTCTTTTTGTGCACCAATCCATACAAGTTGTGTTTTTAATTTGTCTTTTCTTTTTTCTAAATTATTCAGAATAAAAGTTGATGATACACCCTAATAAATATAACAAAACAAAAAATTTAAATTATTAGTTAAGATATATCAATAAATAATAGCTCATAGTAACAATAATAATGCAACTAAATAGTTAATAATTACTTTAAAGCCATGAACTAGATCTCCACTGCGTGATTTGCAATAATTTCTTGCATCGTGAAAAGAGCCACCTTTTGTTACTATAAATTCGTAACAAGTTGAATCAAACGCTGCAATGTCAGCGTCTGCTGGAGTACCAGCGTGCGCACATCTGTCAATGGAGAATTCTGTTGGAGCATATGGTAAGTGGTGTAAAATAAAGGCCTTTTCAATGTACTTTCATTACTGTTTCACTTAATTCAAATGGTATACACGTTTATATTGATATTAGTCAAGAATAATTAGACTCACCATTTGTTGCAAAAACTTCAACTTCGCAGAGACTTAAACTTCCTTCCACACCGACTAGTTGAAGAAAAACGTATTGACCTACAAGTGCTCTTGCACATATAAATGTTTTTGTAATGCCTTCCTCTAAAAAAAAAAAAATGGATTTATTTGTAAATGCGCTCTTTAAATTATAGAATAAAATCTAATCATATACGAAGAAAATTAAATAATAGCAGTTACTATCTAGTTATGGTAAAAAATTTTACCATCAACCCGATGGTAGTGAATACGATCTAGATGATTGTAGAAATTATCTAGATGGTAGCATTTACCATATTCATAGTAACTGTTACAATCCTGTATGTTAACTAGAGTTAGTTACCATTATCATCCTAAATGGTTATATTTATAATTTCTGATGGTAACAGTAACCATCAGGAACTATAACAGCTACTATCTAAGGTAGTAAGTAGAATTTAAACATCAGGATTTAAAAACCACGGTCAAAAACGTATATATATATATATATATATATATATATATATATATATATATATATATATACTGATTAAAAAATATATGTATTATTCCTATTAATTTATGGGATTAGTTCCTATACTGATTGTAAAAACGATCACTATGATTATGGGAATGACGCCCATAATATTAAAAAGTGTTCCTTAAATTTATAAGATCGTTTCCAATAATTATGGAAATAGTTCCGATACAAATTAATGGAGTGGTTCCTATATTTACAGGAATTGTTTCCATAATTTATAGGAGCCGTGACTTGTGAACTATACACGGAGAAAATAAAACAGCAATGATTACTGTTTCATACAAATATTAGAAAAACGTTCATAGTCAGTAGTGAGTGCTGTACGAAACACGACTGGTTAGTGCCAGAACACGACTCAGTAGTGCGCAAACAATAGTCAGTAGCTTTTATGCAGCGCTCTCTACTGTTCCAAATATTCTAACCTCATTTTCTTCCAACGCAGTACTAAGTGCTGTACAAAGCAGTAGTCAATGTTGTTTTTTTTTCTCCGTGTCAATAAATAAAATTTTACTTCATTAAACAATGACTCTTGTTAAATTGCACTGTACTTTCTTAACCATTGATGTTTTTGAAGATATAAGCTCATCCCGATGTTACACTCATCAAGAGCTTTCATTTGAGTACCTACATGCATTTTTGAGATATTTTTCATATATATGATACATATAAATATGTGAAAAATTGATGTGGGTACACGGAGAGAATTTAATAGTAAATACAACTATCCGAGTATTGTAAAAACGGCTTCTTAGTATGACTGATTAGAAGAACTATCCAAATTTTTAACTGAAACATCCAGATAGTTACATTTACCATCTGGATAATAATTATTACCATTTGGCTGGTAACTTGAAGATGGTAAACTTAATCATAATATATGTTAACCACTAAAATCATGTTGATTGTAAATTGTACAATCATGATGGTAATTATTATACCATCGCAGCTAGTAATATGATTAGTCACTATGTGACTACCGTGACTTGTGAATTATAAATAAACAAAAATTTCGCTTTATTAAATAATGACTTTTGTTAAATTCCACTGTACTTTCTTGAATATTGACGTTTTTGAAAATATAAGCATATACACTGTTAAGAATTTCTATTGTAATTTTACAAGAAATGTATTGGAAGCTAATAGGCAAAACATTTATTTAAAATTACAATCGGGTATAGTAAAATTACAAAACATATATAGCTCAGTGAGGTTACTAATTTTACAAAACGGTTTTGTAATTTTACAAATATTTTTAGATTAGCTAAGTTTGTAAAATTACAATACTTTCCTTGAATTTTACTTGAATTGAAATAATAAAAAAGAAAGATTTGATTTAATATCTGTTGTCATTTTATTGTTATGAAGCGCTGACTAGATTTTGTATCTCACGTAGACCTAATTTGTTCAACTCAGATGATTTAAAGTGAAAATAATATATACCCTAACTAAGAACCGAACCCGAGTCGCGCGCTTGCCAGACCGATACCTAACGCCCTACGCCGTACGACCGATAGGTTATTCAACATCTTATTATTCTTATAAGCTAATCCTATGTGGTGATTGAGCATTACAGCTTATTATTTATAATTTACATTAATTGTGTTATTTTATGCTGTTTATTGATGGAAAAGTCTAACATATACTCATTCAAATATATTGATTTCGAAATGATCGTTTGAGCATAATATTAAAATTTATAAAAGATAAATTATGCCTCGAATTTATTATTACAAATAAACAACTATAGACTAAAAATTAGTAAAAATAAATATGAAGGACATTGTTGTTTTTTTATACATCAGTCTCATTTTTGTAAAATTGAAAAGTATTATTTTTAAAATTAGAAAACAGTGAAGTAGAATTAGAATTCGTGTAATATAAATAAAATTTTCTGGTAACATTACATTGCACTGTGTAATTTTACAATGGAAATTGTAAAAATAAAAAAAAGCTTTTTAAATTTTTTATGTGATTATTGTAATATAAATTACAATATTTTTTAATGATTTTACATACAATTATGCCGAATCAAATTACAAATAATGTTTGCAAAATTAAAAAGCTTTTTCTTGAAAATTGACCAACAGTTCTGTAATATTACAATGCGTATTAGGTTTATACAAGAAGATTGTAAAATTACAATACATCTTAGTAGAGTTCCTGACATGTGTTGGAAAATTACATGAATTGTATTTTATTTAGCATTGCTATACACTGATTTGTAATTTTACATATCATTTGTTTTGTAATATGATTTTGTAATTTGATTGTAATATGAAAGGGGGGGAATCCTTTTTACGGATTCTAGGCATAGATGTTGGCCCGAATATGTGGCGCCTCGACGCAGCGTCATACTAAAACTTGACGCTGACGCCCCTACCCACTAAACCCTAAACCCCTTTCTCTTCTATCCTCTGATCCCCCATGGTACCGCCGTAAGGCATTTCTTCGCGGGGGTGTGTGTGTGTGTGTGTGTGTGTGTGTGTGTGTGTGTGTGTGTGTGTGTGTGTGTGTGTGTGTGTGTGTGTGTGTGTGTGTGTGTGTGTGTGTGTGTGTGTGTTGGTGTGTGTGTGTGTGTGTGTGTGTGTGTGTGTGTGTGTGTGTGTGTGTGTGTGTGTGTGTGTGTGTGTGTGTGTGTGTGTGTGTGTGTGTGTGTGTGTGTGTATATGTAAACCTCTTGTAACTTTTGAACGACTCGACCGATTTCATCGCGGTTGGTGTCATTCGAAAGGGCTTCACTAAACTTAGATTTCCTGAAAATTTGAACCGATTTGGACGGGTAGATTTCGAGAAAATCCAAAAAAAGTGAAAAAAAAGTTGTTTTTTTTTATTTTTTTTAAATATCTCCGAATTGGCTGAACCGATCGGTCTCAAAAACTAATCAGCTCTTAACCTTGAAAACCCCCATCGATCATTACCAAAAACGTTAGAATCGGTTGATGCGTTCGTGAGATATCGTTGTCGAAAAAAATCGAAAAAAGTGTTTTTTTGTAATAACTTCGAAATTCATGGCTCGATCGATTTAAACTTGAAAATTTTTCATGGAGCTTCAAAAACTGCGTCGATTGCCGCCAACCGCGTGAAAATCGGTTCATTCATTCAAAAGTTATTGCCGTTTGAAAATTAAAAAAATTGTGTCTTTAAACTGCTATTAGAGTTTTGAGCTCGAAGAGCTCAAATTGACACAAAAATAATATTTTTGAGTTCGAAGAGCTCAAAAACGTAATGTGTAGTTTGAAGCGTTTAAATACAAAATGAGCGGGAAGTTGCAGGGATGGCCTTTAGGGTGAACCGTTTTTCTAATTTTTTTTTCTATTAAGATGATACAATCAATTCATATAAAATTATCTATAAAACGGTATGCAAATTACTGCAGTCCTGTAAGCTAATAGGAGTATAATATAAATATAGTAATAGGAATCTACGTAATTTTTTGCTGCGATTTGATTACAACATTTGAATAATCAAGTATAGAAATTCGATGCATTACTTTAAGTATCATATGGGACACTTTGATTAATGACACTAGCAGATAATTTTTTAATTTGTAAGTTAAATTTCATCATATTTATCAAAATTTTATTAACTATCAAAACAAAAAGCTAATTATGATGACAAAATAAATTTTCCTTTTACTGAAATGGAGAAAGTGAGCACCATCCTCTTAAAAATCTTGTCTTCAGAGTTAATTGAAGAAACTATTTCTTATTAAATGTTTTTCAAGCCAGATGAAATTCAATGCTTAATTAGATCAATAAATATTTAAAATAATAAAAAATATATTTGGAAATATATAGACAAATATATAAAACATTTATATCTAGATATATATTTTATTTATATGCATTATTATCACCGAAAACGCATGTAAATAATTTATTATGTTTGCCTGTATATGTTCTCGTATATGATTTTATTTATGTTGGATACACCCTTTCATATATAAAAAAAACTTCGAAATTTTCCGAGAATCAGAAAGAAGTTAACGGCTTATTCAAACAATCAAATATATGTTTGGATTTACATTTTTTCGTTTTTTTTTTGTATTTGCGATTACGCAGTAAATATCCATGACTATATTTTTCTCTGCGTAGAGCTAAAAAAATTATAATTTAATTGGCAATCTAATAAATCTCCATCATCTTAGAATTTTTCTGAAGAAATAGGTCAATTCTACTCTAATTAACTCGGCGGTGCAAATAATAGTTATTACTGTTAATTATAAATTTACTTTTCAATACTTAATTTCTAGAGAAACTATAAACTATAATATAAACACTAAAGTCCTTACAATGTAATCAGCTGTACTAAATAATAAGTAAGTATTAAATATGCATTCTTACTATTACCTAGAAACCACTTTTATTTACAATATTTATAAAGCAATAAAAATAAAATTACCGATAGTTCCAGGGAACCAGGCACATAATGGATTTCTTTGTAGTTCAACGCTGCTATTACCAACTCTTATTTCAATATCTTGGAGAGGTTGATGACCACAGCAGCCTCTAGTCGTCACTCTAACGACTTTTACAGAGTAAGCTTTTAATAAATCAACTTTCCACCATGGACTAGGCTCATTTTGAGTTTCTGTGCATCGTTTTCCATCATGCTCAGTTCCTGTGTCTCCGTCATTACCGTGGCTAGCATCACCACCTCGTACAGTTGTTGATTGATTAGCGGGCTTACGAAATCCAACGTTTGTGCCTGTTAAACAAAAATTATACTTATTAGTAACAATTTGAAAACATCATTTAACTTTCTATTTTATTGTAATACTAAATATGTCATTGTTAAAATCGGAAGTGAACATTACCACAAAATGGTAATTCGCCTTGCCATCTTCCCCGACTACTGCACGTCGTGGTAGGTTGTCTGCAAAGAAAGAAAGTTTTTTTAAATTATAAGTAGTTCTCGAATGATAGGATTTATAATATAGAGTAAAAAATATTATACATATAGTAATGAGAAATCAATTTAAGCAGTGAGTAGATAACTAAGAATGTTACTTAATTTGATTCCGGTGAAAGTATGTGACTTTAATAACTATTTATTCATTAGTATACTTCATGCATTATGGATGTCAACCTGTGAATTATATGATGATAAAAATAATGTATTATGTACAATTAAAATTTTTCTTAAAACAAACACGAACATTTGTACGATCATTTTTTCTATTGCTTAAATTATTTAATACGAAAAATATATTCGATGCATCTACCGAAAGATTTATTGTAAATTTGTTTCTGAAAAATTGAAATAATTTTTACTGCGTACATATACTTTTTAAATTTCCGAACATTCGAGATTAATTTTATGTTTAATTCGGTATACTTGACTCAAAATTGTTCTGCTTCTCAATTAAAAAAAAGTTACTTTTGGATTAAATGAAAAAATTCCCGTATGAAGGATCAGAAAATTCTTAAGTTAACTTTTTTTAGTTATCGTCTAAAATATTTAATCTTGATTCAAGTGATTTTCATGTTTTCAGTTAAATATTCTTTCAATTTAGAGCAAGAGATATAATTTAAAATTAAGATAAAAATATGTTTTCTTGTAAGAATCTTGTGTACTTAGTTCAAAAACAAGGACCACTTTGACTCTAGAAATTAATATCTTCTTTCAAGATTATATTGACTTATTTCAAACTTGACGCATATCTTGAATCGAAACATTGTTTACTTTTCCCAAGAAAATATTATTTGCGTGAAAGAATAAGAATTAAAGAAAAATTCCAGTCATGTTGAGAATCGAACCTACCATTCTTAGATCCAAAGTCTAGCGTCAGGGTCATAATAAAAAGTTCTTTGCCTTGTATTGAAAATACTCAAACGTAACTACGTATTTTAAAAATTACTACACTTATAGAAAATTTATGTTGACTCAAGAGATATTTTCTTGATCTAAGAATTTATTTTGGAAGACAAATGATTATTTTGCTTTAAGAATTTCTTGTCTTGATTTAGATTTTCTTGGCTTAAGAGCTACATTATCTTCAATCGATACATTTAAGTTTTTCAATCAAAATAACATTATCGTTTAAAAAACTTAAAATAATTCATCAAAGTATATTTCAAAAATTAAATAGTCTTTAATTGTTATACCATAAAAAAATTATTTCTTGGAAATAAGTAAATTAATGACTGAAAAAAAAGCTATTCTTAACACAAGTCGGTAACATTTTGAATCAATGTTATTGCCTATCTTGAACCAAGAGACAAAAATTCTTGAAAGAAATATATCTATATCTAGTTTCAAGAGTTCAAGTTTTGAAGAAAAAAAGTTTCTTGAATCAAGATTGTTTTTCTATCAGTGGACCTATACTTTCTAGAAGAGATATTTTGGACTAGAAACTTACAGTAGTTTATCAAAAGTTTGAAAAATCCAAAAGTGCACGCCTCATAGCACTCATTCATTTTAAAAAAAAAAAATTAATTGTGTAATTAATTAAAGAATTATAATTAAGTAATTTCTTACAGAGTATTTTTTATTTTTTTTTTTTTAAATATCGGCGCCCTTTCTTCTTGTCGTGCGCGCACGCAGTCTAAAAAAAAATCTAGCTTGATCAAGTGGCGCCATAGTTTTCACGTGACAAATAAGGAAAGTTCGTTTAGCGACGTCCACGTAAAATTTTTTTCAAAACGTTTTTTTTTTTCAAAATAGCAACATGAAATGATTTTAGAAAGTAACAGATGGTTTAATTTAAGTGTTTTTTCGGTGTACATCTACTTATATCATTGTATAAGTGTAATATGGTTGTGATAGAGGCATTTAAAGATCACAAAATTGCTTGATCTTAACGAGTCGAGTATAAAGCACAACCTCACGCGCTTCGCGCTATGAGGCGTGCAATAATAGACACTAACAAACTTAGAACCATAAGAAATAAAAAAATCTATCTTACATGAAAAACTTTAAAATTAAAATTAAGGACTCAAATTTTCAGGCAATTTTTTTTCAGCATAAATAACAATATTTTGCTGTGGGAGCGAATCTTGTACGAACAATATTTTGCGATGTGTGTGTGTGTGTGTGTGTGTGTGTGTGTGTAAACCTCTCATAACTTTTGAACGGCTTGACTGATTTGATCGCGGTTGGCGCCATTCGAAAGGGTTTGACTAAACTTAGATTTTGAATACAATTTGGACCGTTTCGGACCGGTAGATTTTGAGAAATCTTAAAAAAACTACGAAAAAAATTAGAAAAACGATTGACCCTGAAGGCCATCCCTGCAACTTCCTGCTAATTCCATACCTAGGCGCTGAAAATTGCACTTGTGATGTTTTTGAGCTCTTCGAACTCGAAAGTTCAATTTACGTGTTATTTTGAGCTCTTCGAGTTCAAAAAACTGATGGAGGTTTCATAGAACACTATTTTTTTAATTTTCAAACCGCAATAACTTTTGAATGAATCAACGGGTTTTTTCGCGGTTTACGGCATTCGGCAGTTTTTTAAGCTTCATACAAAATCTTTAAATTTGAATTGATCAAACTAGGAATTTTGGAGTAATTCCGAAAAAACACTTTTTTCGGTTTTCTTTGGTTCACGATATCTCTCGAACGAATCAACCAATTATGACCGGCTTAGCGGCGATCGACGTGGTGTTTTGAGGTTAAGAACTGATTAGTTTTTGGAATTGATCGGTAGAGCCGTTTAAAAGTTATTCTGAAAAAACCACATTTGAAAAAAGTTTTTTTGAGATTTCTCAAAATCTACTGTTATGGAAGGTTTACATACAATTGTTATATAATAATTGTTAATACATAATAAGAATATAGAAATAATAAGTAACAAATTTTGATCAAATTCTTATTTCCTTTAGTCGCCCCTCCCCCTCATGGTTATTCAAACACTTGTTATTTTGAACTCTTGATAATTTGAAATTTATATCTGGTCCCTTGAGTTTCAAATTATCGAGAGTCGACTGTACTTACACGCAAACACAAATTTTCAAATATGGTTTTTTGGAAATAACTTTTGAACGGTTTTACCGATCGATTCCAAAAACTAATTAGCTTTTAACGTCAAAAAACCACGTCGATCGCTGCCAAGTTGGTCAAAATCGGTTGATTCGTTCGTGAGTTATCGTTGAGGAAAAAAATTGAAAAAAGTGATTTTTTCGAATTACACTGGAATTTTCGGTCTGATCTATTTGTGTTCAAAAGTATATCATAGAATTTAAGAAACTGCATCGAATGCTACTAATCACGTGAAAATCGGTTCATCTATTCAGAAGTTATTGCGGTTTGAAAATTAAAAAAATAATGTTTTATTAAACCTCTATTAGACTTTTGAGCTCGTAGAGCTCAAAAACGTCATAAGTGCAATTTTAAGCGCTTAGATATAGAATTAGCGAGAAGTTGCAGGGATGGCCTTTAGGGTCAACCGTTTTTCTAATTTTTTCATCGAGTTTATTTCAAACTTTTTGCATCTTGACGACGCAATGTGCCGTTAGACATCTTGGTTAATTGCACCTTAATAGTCTACCGGTTTTTGCAGTTGACAACCGTATACTTAGAAGCTTACGAAGATAGAAAGGTGCTCAAACTCACCCAAAGAGCTCGTAACCGGCATCACAAGTGTAGGTCGCCAAGGTACCAGCTGACAATGAATCGTTTGACAGTGAGACTTTTGAGTTCATTGGTACTGCTGGATGGCCGCATTTTGACCCTGAAAAATAATTCAATAAAAATAGTTTTTCTTCTTCCAAGATAAAAAAAATTTAATTAAAAACACTTTCACACTATTATAAAATATTATTGACAATGATATTAAATTGAGTTCAGTTTGTACCTACACTAATAAATATTGGCTTACATATAAAATTTATTTTTACTTTGCTTTTTATTCTCAAGTTTATTAAAAATAGTAATTTATTCTTCGGAACAAAATAGAAAGTTTATTTTATCGTTAAATATAATCAGAGGTTTAAAAAATTAGAAATTATAAAAAGATATTTTATCATTAGTGTTACAGAGGAAAATTAAATAAACTTTAAATTATTGTTAAAAAAACTGTATATTCACAATGAATAGAGAGTGAAAAAAACTGAATTAATAACTGTTGATGTAAAGGCAGTGAAGCGTTAAATGTTAACTGCGTGACGCAGCTACCGTTTCTTGACCTAATCAACTCGATTATTTAGCGCATTACTTAGAACAGATAAGTACAAATAACACTATTATTGATAACTCGTATGTGTATTCAAGCAATTGCAGCGGTCTATGTCTGAGATAATTTTTTACATTCAATTAATGTTTTGAGCCATTTAACAGTAAATGATTATGTTCACGATGCATAGGCGTAAGCGTAACGGATAAGTGTTTTGATGCACATGATAAAAACCTACGCAAATTCATTGTAACGTATACAATTTACAATGTCAGGATTTCTTTTGATAAAATTATTTCAATGCCTATGCAATGTGAATTCACTGACTTGGCAAAACTTATTTGCTTTATTAGCGGTGAAGAGTTTATTCTCGTAATGATTCAAACAATAGATTGGATTTAGGTCATCCAGTTGTCGAAAAAAAATGAAAGGCAAATAAAATAATAAAAAAGGAGAATTCATTTTTTTATTGAAGAATATCTCTCACGTATATTGCAAATTCATCTGAATATATGGACCTTACGATTCTCACTATTCAAAGTATTTTTATATAGACATATTTTATTTAAACGGTATCTTATTTATAATTAAACTAAAGGGGATGTTATTCAATTGTATTGTAAATAATTTAATTTTATTAATAATGGTAATATTGAGGCGCGCAGTAGCCTATCGGATCCGGCCCTTGCTTACCAAAGCATTGGACCGGGTTCGAGTCCGGCGTACACCAATGAATATTTTCAATATTTAAGAGTATTATTCTGCTCAGCCCAAGAAATAAAACGAGTTCCAATCTCAAAAAGTTTACCCCCTATAGTAGTCGCTCATGACCTTAGTAGTTTATGCGACTTTAAACAAATTAAGAAAAAAAAAAAAATGGTAATATTTTTATTAATTAAAACCAGTACACGGAAAAAACGACATTTAACTGGTTTCCATGTTGTACGGATCCTAGTTCCATCTATAGTAAAAAAAATTTACAAATGGCTACTACTTAAATGTACAGTGTAGTAGATCCAATTTTCGTTTATTTAAGTTAAATCCGACATGTAGCTCAGAGCCATCTGAGATTTATTTGTCTCAGGCGGTTGTCAGTACCGCGCGCATGGTCGTCAGTCCCATTTTACATAGAAATGGCTTCCGTTTGAAATTTAACTAGAATCTCT